AGGGGGTATTTATATCGATTACTATCCAATAACCGATTAACATCGATAGTAATCCCCTTGCAAATTTTGGTGATGTATTTCCGCCCTTGTATAGGTTCACAACAACCCTGGTACCCACAATTAAACCGTCTTCTTACCTGGATTCTTTATTGGTCTCTTCCTTACTTCCAGCCAGCAACTTGGAAAGGTCGGTTGCCCAGGCTTTAGGTGCCTGAAGGACACCCTCCCCTTGGTACATACTTTCGGAGTGTATGTCCTTTTCCTCCGGTGCGACAACCCGGCAGTTCAGCTGGTATGTCCTCCACCATTAGGATCTGGTTGCTCGGTTCTCTGATCTCGGGCCCCAGTTTGAATTCAGCCCTCTTGTGATACCATCATATATCACTGCTACTCCTAACTCGAAACTTCCCAAATGGGTTTTCGGTTATGCCGGTTCCTCGGATTTATTGCGCCATTGCTCCCATTACTAGATGGTATGACCGAAGTTACAGATTAGATCCAACCGATAAGTATAGCTATTAACCGAACACAAGCCCAATTTTCAAAAATCATCATCCATGGGATTCGAACTCTAGACCTGCCACTTGGAGAGGGTGATGACTAGACCACTACACTAAGTCGCCACACCTCATATTTCGTTAATTTCTTAAAATAAATATATATATATAGTATATATATAAATATTACAGTATTATATACATTATGTAGGATTATGCGGGCTGAATATTTTTAAACCTGCAGTGCAACTAATACTTTATACATACTAACCACATCAGTTTCATCATAATAATCTATTTTTTCTACGCTCATAATTGCTTTTTTTTGTCATTCTTCTTGTTCCTTGTCACTTAATTCTTGAAGCACTTGTTCCCCATCAATCAATAATTGAAATTCTGGTTCTTCATCACTCAATAATTAAAATTCTGGTTCTTCATTGCTCAATAATTGAAATTTTGGTTCTTCATTGCTTAACAATTGAAATTCTGGTTCTTCATCGCTCAATAATTGAAATTCTGGTTCTTCATCACTCAATAATTGAAATTCTGGTTCTTCATCGCTCTTATTATGCTGCATAGCATTTCTCTCTCTTTCATTTTCAATTTCCTGTAAAGCTGCCTCAATAATATTGATATTATGCATTTTTATATAGTTTTACAAAGAAGAAAGACACACAAAATATTTTGGACAATGTGGACAATAGTAGAGATGGTAAAATTTGAGATCATTTGCCTTTTTTCAAATGACCAAGGTCATTTCCGACCAAAATTTATAATAAAATTAAGGTCATTTGAGGTCGTTTTGAGGTCATTTGAGGTTATTTAAAGGTTATTTGAAGGTCATTTACCATCTCTGGACAATAGTGTTACATAGTAAAGTACAATTATTTGTTAATTAATGTTTTAAACATAATAATATATAAAAGAATTATTAGTATTGAATTTTATTATTATTATTATTATTTATCGTGGTTTTCGAAATAGTAGAAATGAGTAAAAAAAATTTTTTTTATTTATTTTCAATCATTTCAAAAACTGTGATAATTATTTTTTTAAAATTATTATTATTATTTTTAGTTAATTAATATTATTATTATTATTTAATTATTATTATTATATTTAATTATTTTTTTTAATTTTTTTTAATTTTTTTTTAATTTTTTTTAATTATTTAATATTATTAATTTTAAAACTATAGAATTTTTTGTCTAAATATATATATATCATATCATAAAATTCAAATACAAGTGCCTCAGATTAATGCTTGCATCTTAACTTAGGCCGATTGACATCGGAGACAAGCATTAGTTTGAGGCGTGACATACATAGCTTCACCAACTTTCCTTAGAAGCACCTTTGACAATATTTATATATGACACCAAGTTAATAAGAACTTTTCAATAAAATTATTATTTCGCCAATTTGCTTGTTATAAGCAAGGTTTAAAAAAAATTTTACTATATAAGCCGTAAAAATCATTATTTTACAAAATAGTATTAGCTTTAGCTAATCAGTTGATACTAATCAGTGTACTATGCAGGCTAATGTAACACAATAATCGGACATGCTAATGCATGCAAAGTTTATTTAATTAATATATATATAAATTTTTAAATTTAAGGGCGGTAGTCAAAAAAGAAAAAATTGTGATTAGCGAGAACTTTATTTTTTTTTTTCTTCCCAACTCAAATTAATAAAGCAAATACGTATTTTATTGTGATTAGCGAGAACTTTTCTTCCCAACTCAAATTTAATAAAGCAAACACATATTTTCATCATAATTAGCGAGAACTTCTTTTTTTTTTTTTCTTCCCAACTCAAAATTAATAAAGCAAACATATATTTTATCGTGATTAGCGAGAACTTCATTTTTTTTTTCTTTCCAACTCAATTTAATAAAGCAAACACATATTTTCATTATAATTAGCGAGAGCTTCATTTTTTTTTTTTTTTTCTTCCCAACTCAAATTTAATAAAGCAAACACATATTTTCATTATAATTAGCGAGAACTTCATTTTTTTTCTTCCCAACTCAAAATTAATAAAGCAAACATGTATTTTATCGTGATTAGCGAGAACTTCATTTTTTTTTTTCTTTCCAACTCAAATTTAATAAAGCAAATACATATTTTCATTATAATTAGCGAGAACTTTATTTTTTTTTCTTTCTAACTCAAAATTAATAAAGCAAACAAGTATTTTATCATGATTAGCAAGAACTTCATTTTTTTTTTCTTCCCAACTCAAATTTAATAAAGCAAACACATATTTTATTATAATTAGCGAGAACTTCATTTTTTTTTTCTTCCCAACTCAAATTTAATAAAGCAAAAACATATCTTTTGAACAGTGAAATGATGGTAGAAGTTGGTAAAAGGTATCATACATACCTCATGAAATAACTATAAGTCATTAATAAGAAATACGAACCAAAGTATGAGCCAGAATTAAACTTGAAATTACTTGTACTATCATAATTATAGGTTAGTTATGTATGTATTTTATCCTCAATTTATATTAATAATAATACAATACATTTTTATATATATAGATGTTTTATATATCACATTTGAATTTAATTAAGCAATGTTATAATGTTACTATTCATTAGTAATTTGTCATTCATTATTACTTTAAGATTATCAGTATTTGGTTATTATTTAATAAATTCATCACCATTATATGACATGTTATTATTTAATAAATAAAAGGATTTTTTTT